ATGAATGGATAACGAAGATGTGATACATGATATAGGTGTCTATATAGATATATACATATACATACATACAATATGGAATATTATTCAGCCATGAAAAGAAGGAGATCTTACCATTTGCAAAAACATGAATGGACCCAAAGGGCATCATGATTAAGTGAAATAAGTCAGACAGATACTGTGTGATTTCACTTATATGTGGAATCTAAGAAAACCTGAACTCAGAAATACAGAGAACAGACAGGTGGTTGCCAGAGACGGGGATTGGGGGGTAGGGGTGGGGCTAAATGAGTGAAGGTGATGAAAACGAACAAACTTTTAGTTACAAGACATGAAAGTCCTGGGGATGTCATGATCAGCATGGTAATTAAAACGAACAAACTTTTAGTTACAAGACATGAAAGCCCTGGGGATGTCATGATCAGCATGGTAACTACATTTAATAATACTGTGTTGTATATTTGAAAGTTAAGAGAGTAGATCTTAAGAGTTCTCATCACAAGGAAAAAAATTTGTAACTGTATGGTGATAGATGTTAACTAAGCTTTTTATGGTAATCATTTCAATATATATACATATATCAAATCATTACATTGTATATACCTAAAACTAACACAATGTTATATGTTAATTATATAATTTAAAGAAAAGTAATCAAATAAAATGCAGTTTCTCAGTTGTACTAGCCATATTTCAAGTTCTCGATAACCACCCCTGGCTATGGCTACTGTACTGGACAAGGCAGATATAGCATTGTTATTAATATCATTGCAGAAAGTTCTGTCGGGCAGCACTGGTCTAGACTACCATGACATGCCACCGAAATATGCCACCAAAAAAATCTAACATCCATTCATCCACCTACTCATTCATTCATAAACTACTTAAAGAGCACCATTTCTGTCTATAAAACATACACCTGGGTGTCTGCCCTGCCTCGCTCGCTGTCGCAGCTAGGCTGGAGGTGGCATCTGGATGGCGACGTGAGTAAAGATGGTGATGGCGTGCCTGTATCACTGAAGGGTGGTACCATGTAGCGGGTAACTAACATATTGTTATAAAGGAAAACTGTGGGGAGACACGGGAAGCCCACTTTTTGGGTGGGTTATCACAGACTCTAGAAGGGAGACTATTGTTTCCTTCCTCCCAAGAGATGTTTCTCTGCAGGGGAAGAAGCACTGAGAAAACCAGAGAAAAACCAACAGACCTCAGTTTCCTTCCCAGCTCCGTCCCTTACAACTCACCAGCTGGGCAAGTCATTTAACTGGAGAATATCGAAAACTCTTACAGACTTATTATCACGTCCTCTTTCCGAGCCCAAGGCAGACATCGCAAATCAATCACGTACCCTTTCCTTGATGAACCATAAGAAAAGTTCCAGATCTTTCTTAAGACAGCAAGCACTCCAGGTAGCCATTTCCAAACAGAGTGGGCAGAAGAGACATAATCTATATGCCCCATGGCATCTCACTATTCAAGCCCCAGCTTCTTCATCTACATGGTGAGGACGTACGACACCCACCTAGCAGGACTGCTGGGGGGTTAACTGAGGTGGTTCATTTGTTCGGTTATTTGTTCATGCGTCACATATTCACTGAGTGCCTGCTGGATGCCTCACGCCTACCCCGTACACACGGCACTGTCTAAAGGGCAGCTGTGATAAGTACAGGCGTCTGTGTGCCGGTGTAGACAGATTCTAACCTTTGTGTCCTTACTTTTCCCTGAAGTCCCTCTCCTCTGAGCCACCTCACACTCACCGCATCACCTAATGAAGGGGAAAGGAGCCCATAAAACTTAGCCTGAGAATTTAATAGCAGCATATTTTCTAGCCCTTCCTTTCTTATGTTCTAAAGAAGCCGTGGTTGGATTAGCCCCCACATCTGACTTTTCTTCCTTGCATTCCTATACACAAAACACTGTATTAACAAGTCGTGTCTACTGGGGTGAGCTATATTTCCTATAAACTCTCATTTTATCTCCTCTAAAACACACAGTAATAGCATTCTCTGGAGAATATTAAATCAAACCAACCTGCAGCTGCATCTGTTGGCGCTTTCTGCCCCCGGTAAATTCAGGCAACAGATGGGTGTGTGTTACATAAGCAGTGCCCCCGGGGCGGGTGCGGGGCTCCAGCCCACACCCCCTCTGTGTGTAGAAACGCCTCGCGTCTCCAGTCCCCGCAGCTCCTCAAAGTGCCCCCAATGACCCTCTTATTCTCAGCTCACAAGGAAGGCTGAGTGCAGGTTAAAGAAGAGGCAGGCCATGGCCAAAAGGAATGAAGCTTATCTCCTTTGTAATCCAGCACAGAAAATCCGCTTTTCTTAGCCTGAGATATACATTCAGTGACAGGGCCAAGCTGCAGGGCATGGGCATGGGCAGCCAACACTGTTCCATTAGCCATTCCTGAAGATGCTGGTGACCGCCTGTCAGGAAGTACCCAGAGGACACAGGCAAGAGAGGACACGACCCTAGATGCTGGGTGTGCACTGCAGGGCCTGGGGACAGCCCATAAGAACACAGGAGGCAAGGGCAGGCCCGTGGAGAAGGGGAGGCTGACACTCTCACAGTAACTTCCTTGCTTATCCCAGTGGTTTGGATTTGTTCTTAAATTCTAACTTTAGGTATTTGTTTTTAAAAACTTAAAAACAGAAATCAGAGAAAGCTTTCTGTCTCTTCTCCGAGGCAGCGCTGTGCATGAAGGGAGCCCGCTGGGACAGTGTCTGTGCGTTAGCATCAGGTCCCGAGAGCCTGGAAGATGTTTATTGGTAGGTGGCTGGCTGGCTGGGAGAATCGGCGGGAAGTAGTACAGAAGGAAGGATAGCAAGGAGGGAGAAGCAGGGACGCCCCTGATGGATCCCCAGCCTGCCTCTAACCTGCACACGACCTCGTGCGAGTACCCTGACACTCTTATTCTCAGTCTCTCATCCGAAGAGCCAAAAGGGTAAGACAACTGCTTATGGGTTCCTGGGGAATGAACTCATGCATTCATTCGTTCATTCGACAACCACGTATTTCCACTTTGAGCAGAGCAGCAGTAGATACGACGGAGGGCCTGCTCCCAAGACGCGTACAGTGCTGCAGGGGAGCGGGCGTTGATCCTGGTGCAGGGTGACGAAACACATTCATGAAGTCTCAAAGTCGCGCAAGGGTCAGGTCAGACTGGCCTCCTGGAGAAAGTGACCATCGGGGTTTTTCAAGACCATGAGGAATACGCAGGCATTTTGAGTTGAACCAGATGGGAAAGGCCAAGGACTAATGGTGTAACTACCAGGGAGGGGCATGGGGAGCCGAGTGGCCGCACTCTGGGGGGTGACATGAGTGAGGGGCGGGTGCTCACAGACAGAGGCCGGGCCTGGCACATAGGGATGAGGGGGCCCCGATATGCTCGGGGGTTTGACCTGGAGTCTCTGGATCAAGGGGAGCGTCTGAGGGTCTGAAGCAGCAGGGAACCATGATGAGACCCCCAGCAGCTGCTGGAGACAGACTGGAGGCCTGGCCAGGGGTCAGGAAGGGTGAGTAAGGGGGTGCACTCTTCCACACCTCTCTGCCTTTGCAGAGAACACACAGTTCCCTCCATCTGGGACACACTTCCTCCTTTTCTGCCTTGCTCAGTCCTACTCTTTCCACTATAGCTCGGGTATATGCTCCTTCGAGTACCTCCCTTAACCCCTCCCCAGACTGAGGCCCCCTCCAACATGCCCCAGGGGTTATGGTCTGGGGCAGACCAGCTCCCACCCCAAGATGAGTTCGGTTTGAACTGTACGGTAGTTTCAAAAGAACTTACGTTAGCTGTCGACATTCACGAACCAGAAAGGCTCATAGCAAAATCCAGATTCCCAGGTCCCTGGGGACGCTCAGGAGACCCGGCAGCACCGGCTGACGTTCCCACATGGCAGCCATCAGCTGAGGCTGCAAAGTGGCCTTCCCTTTACCTGGCGCGTGTGCCTGCCAGTCTGCCACACTCCCGACCGTGCCCTCGTGTGCGTCTGACAACACTGAGGCTGAGTTCGGAGTGGGGTCGCATTTGCCAACTCTCCCGTTCCATCGCTTCCCCTAGAGCAGGTTGGAAAGGAAAGTGGAACAACTCCCTTCCTTTTTTCTATCACAAGAGGACAAAGAACACAGGCCGAGGGGTCCTGCCCTTCCTCGCCCACTGAGTCCTCTGCCGAGTCCCTCGGGCGTCTGTTGGAAATCCTTGGCACTCCGGGTTGACCTTATCACACTGCACTGTACTTCTACATGTCCTTGTCCGCCAGCTTTCAGACAAGGAGTACCTCTAGGGCACGAACCGTGTCTTACTTACATCAGTGTCCTCGGAATTGATCATGAAGCCTGATGGCGCCTACTATGTGCTCAGGAATCGATGTCAAACGACAGAATAAATAAAAATGAGTGTATGAGACACAGTCCAGTGAAGAAAGGATCAGGGCCTGGGTGCAGCAGTGACGGGAGAGAGAGAAGGGAGGGGCTCTGAAACCAGAGGGGCAGCAGAGCACAGAGGGCGACAGCCTGGCTGTTCAGAGCAGGGCCCCCGTGCCGGAAGCACTGGCACATGCGGGAGCTGGTTGGACACACAGAGTCTCGGGCCCTGCCCTAGACCTGCTGAATTAGAACTTGCATTTCAGCAAGACCCCGGGTGAGTCGTTACAGCTTGAGAAGCGCTGGCTAAGCGAACGGGCCTGGAGTCCAATCGCGGGGCTTCTAACTCTCACTCTGACTAGCTGTGCGACTTGGGGGAACATTACATAACCCCTCTGAGCGGCTACTTCCTTTTCTGTTAAAACTGAGCCTCAGTTCGTATTTTTCCAGTTCCCGCAAAGGGCCGCCTGACTTCACATCCCCAACCTTCGAGTGGAGGCCCTGCTCCTGGTGCTCTGACAGGGCAGTGTGAAACCCCTCAGCAGGCACTCGCTACACCCAGGGCCTCCTTGTACCCATTTTGCAATTTCAGGAATCAGGCTATGAGATAGCTCTAAGAATTTCCATCAGACCTCGTTACTTACGCCATCAGCGGTCCAGTAATTCCAAACCCTGATCTTGGCCAGACCGAAGTCACGCAGTGGTCTCGCGTCGCGGATAATGAAAAAGAGCTGGAGCGGAGGGTGGAAGGGGCACGTCCACAAGGAGGGGTCTTTCTTGCTCTGAAATATCAGTGAGAGAGGAAGGTGTTCAGTACATCTCTGCCTCTCCCCAAAGGACACCAGCGGTGACTCTCCCTAAGGAAAACCAGGAGAGGGCTGAGGGCAGGCGGCCAGCCCCCTTCTCTACATAACCCAGGGTGGAGTCTTGGATTTCACCCCCGTCTGGACTGACCCTCATCCCTGGCTCAACGCTGCCACTCAGGCCCATCTGTTCCACCATCCCTCCAGACTGAATTTAAAACACAGCGGGCTTTATTTTAATCAAGGTAATCAGCTTTTGCGGGGTGCAGGGCGGCGGGGGAGGGGGGAGTCAACTAGAGAAAAGGATGGGGAAAGAGCCACCGCTTGCCCTATCTGGTAACCCTGGCAAACAGAACTTTTGATTTTCTTTTGTAAAAACTTGTCGACTTAAAAAACAATTTAATAGAACCGAAAGAAGCTGGCTCAGGCATTGGTTGGGACGGGGCCATGGCACGAAGCCACAGGAGTCACTCTGTTCCTTTTCAGGGTTTCCCAGCCGGAGACCCCAGGGTGCAGTTTCTTCTCCCGCCCGCCCGCCGGCGAGGCTGCCACGGCCGCTCTCAAGGCCGGAGGGGCACATTGTAGGAAAGCCTCACTGTCATTTTCATCTGCACCAACAAAATTTTATGTCATCGGTGCCTTGGATGCAGACGGAAAAGCCAAATCGGGGGACTTTTCTCAGCTCTAGTCGCCTCCTCTCTCATCTTCCCGGATGCCTCTTCGACTCTCCGTCTGGACCAAGCTGTCAGCTGCTGCCGAACATCACTACACCAGCTCGGCCTCTGCCTTTGCACAGGCTGGGCCTCTGCATGCAAC